GTCGCTGAACGCCGCCCTCCTGCAGACCCTGGGGCACCTGGGCGACATCGTGTCCATCCTGGGCCCGCTGCGTGACCAGCTGCTGACCTTGAACCAGCACGTGGAGCAGCTGCGTGGCTCCTTCGACCAGACCGTGTCCCTGGCCGTGGGCTTCATCTTGGGCAGCGCTGCCGCTGAGCGCGGCGTCCTGACCGACCCGCGCCAGTGAGACCTGGCCTGCGGCAGTCCCCTCCGTAGGGCCGCCCGCCTCGGCCCTTGACCCCTCCTGTGGCCCTCCCCCGCCCCAAACCTAGGTACGTTCAATAAAAAGGTTGTTTTTTCGAACTTAACCCCGTGTATGTGTGACGGCCTGCACTGATAGGAACGTTCCCTACAGGTAGGGCTGCAGAGGTCCGGGTGAGGTTAAAATGGCCTCGGGATCCTAGGGAGGGGCCAGGAGGGCTGGAGGGAGGGCCCCGTGGGGTCCTACTTTCCCTAGGACGCCAGTCTCCAGTGGGGAGGGAGATGGGGCACCGGGAACCTGAGGTTGGGGCCTCATTGCACACCAGCGTGCTCTTGCAGGTCTTCAGACCCCGCCTGCTAGCACTTTCCACCAACACAGGCCAGCCATGGGTGGGTAAGCACCGTCCCCACCCCCACCTGCCTTGCTTAGCAGAGAGGAGGAGGAGGCTGGGCCCCACTGGGAGGGTCCCAAGGGAAATGGTGGTGGCTGAGCTGGTGGGGGGAACCGTGAGCAATCTCCAGCGCCCCTCCCAAGGAAAAGAGTCTGAGCCTCTTAGCGGAGCTGGACCAGGAGAGCTGGCACACACCCAGGTCAGGGGCTCCTTCCGCCCCCAAGGAAGGGGGATCGGTCTGGGTTGGCTGGGGCTGGGGGTCAGATTTTCGACCTTGGCTGAGGCCAGGGTCCCTGCAATTCTAAGAGCTTTATCAAAATCTCCCCTACCCCCTGGAGCATTTTCCAAATAGCAGTTGAGGGCCCCACCCTGCACTGGTGGATGAGACCCAGTGGGGACTGGGCGGGGCCGGAGGCTCTCCCACCTAGGTGGGGCTGAGGAAGTAGCCCGAGGTTGCTGGCCAGCATA